ATATATATATATATATATATAAAATTGAAATTCATAACAAAAATTTTTTTTATACAAGTTTTAAATAATTAGATACAAATATTAGCTAATTAAATATGTGACAGGTCAGATACGTACATAGCTCAAACCAAAGTAACGTACGCGATTGGTATCACCCTTGGGACAATAAAAATTGCAGGCGAGATCGCGAAGGTTGATCTCGGAAAAAGCCTCTCCGATGCCTCGAGGTGGTAGGTAGAGTGAGAGTTGAGATAGAGAGCAAACCGATGGATTTATGCCTCGTACTACTAGGCATCATCGTTCTCCCCCGATAGATATATGGAACTGTATACGCGCGTTTCTCCACGCAGTTCTCATTCTCTTTCTCTTCCTCTCTCTCTCTCTCTCTCTCTCTCTCTCTCTCTCTCTTTCTTCCTCTCTTACACACTATCTCTATTTCTTCCCTTGCCAATATTTGCCCTCATACGCAACGCCTTGGGTTCTGTATTTACGAACAAATACGCATATACAGATATATAAACGTGTCCTCCATGTTTACCTTCTTATATCTGTCTGTATCTCGCGTTGGTCGCCCCTAAAAGCTACCGTCGAACGCCCCCCGAAATCAGATCAGTAACCCCTTTAGCAAACTTCAACTTCGATGAGCCCGTTGTAAGACGTCTTACCGTTGCAGTAACTACATCATATTAAAGCATATATTTTTATTTTTTTACAATTGTACTTTGGAAAATAATAATTAAACGTATAAAAATCAAGAAAAAACTCATTTCTGTCATATAAATAATTATTAACAATTCAGATAACGATAGGCTATGACAAATATTTAAAAAAGCATTTAGTAAAATTGTTCTTAGATGGTTCTACTGGGAATTACAATTTTTAATAAATATTATATTTTTGTAGTAAATAAAGAGTGATTAGTTAATACTAACAATAAATTTAAGTTCTATAAAAATGTATTAGTACTTTATTGAATTTGTCAAGTAACATTTTGAATATTGGATGTTAAAAAAGCGCAGTATATTTATTATTCATTTCCTTAACAGCGAATTTTCTGATAGTATCACCCTCGTGATTCCACTCTTGTGAGAAGTGTTCGGAAAGTCCGGGAGCTGCGTCTCTGAGGAAAGAGGATCTGAGAGGTGGTCGAGGGGGAGAGGGGGTAACCGAACTTTGGACTTTGAACTTTGCCGCTCGAGTGACCTCGCGGCCGTTTTATTTCACTTTCGGCCATTAACATACTTCGCTCCGGGATTTTTCCTACTTCCGGGTGCAAAGTACTAGATGTCTGCATAATTACCGTTTCATCGGTTTTCTTTCTTACAGCAATTGAGTGAAAAGTAAAAACACACGGTTCCAAATTTCCTTGTTTAAAGATGAAGCATAATTATTTCCATCGTTGTATGTAAGTTATTCGAGAAGCAAATTGTTCCATTCGTGTACGATGAGGAAAACTGATTTGGATCGTTACATGTAAGGTGCTTTCCATTTGATGACAAGTCGACACAAACATTATTCTATCTTTCTCGATTTAACTTACGAGTAACAAAGACAGAACCTTACGTCGACTTGCGAAATGAAAAGCACCCCTAATAGATTTATTCTCAAACGAGACGAATTATGGGCAATTATACATATCAAGCAAGTACTTGTCTCGTACTTTTGATTTGGAGCTTTCCCCTTCTGGAAAGCCGTTGTTTCGTTGTCGTCTGCAATTTCAAGAGTGCCATCGTTTATTGTTCGCGATAGCTCGGAAACAGCAGTGGGGCGCAAAAAGACGAAGCGAGAATCGACGGTACCCCGAAGAAAGACGGCGGTCACGCGCGACGGATAGAAAGAACAAAAAGAGAAGGCAGCCGGAGCGCGGCGAGTAGGAAAGCTCTCTTTCGCCATGAACGCGACGAGGAAGAGGGCTTTTTCCTCAGCTCCGGGGCGAGGATCCATGTATGGACCTCACGACCACCTACGAGACGACGCCGGCGTCGTAGTCGTCCTTCTCGCCGGCAAAAAGTAACACGAAAGTAAGCCTATCGTGGGAGGCGTGGAACGCGGAGCTTTTCCCTGTGTATCTCGATGAGTTCACGACGAGCTTTCATGGGAGTGGGGGCCACGCTTGCGCGGACGCTTCCGGCGAGGAGGGACGACAAAGTCGGAGGAAGCGAAAAGAGGATGGAAAAGCTCTCTAGGATTTTGAGGGTAGGATGCGCGCGGGGAGGGATAAAACGTCGGCGGGGCAGGACGTTCCAGCACTTCTAACACTTTCAGCACTCCTCTTCGAGGCTCGCGGACGTGAGGATGTACTTTACAACTGCCGCTTTTTTGAAATACGTTTTTTAAGGGTTATATCGATTATGGCAACGAGAAAATCATGCGCAACGGTTCATACTACATATTGAGAAGTTTCATTTGTTTAATATTGGATGATTGCTTTATAGAATCTAATGTCAGTTTAATTGGTATATGTATATATATATATATATATATAATAATTGTTTTATATATTTTCCAGAAAGGTTAAAGTAAAAAAAACTTATTTCTTATTAGCGATGGTAATTAGATGTTTTATTTTATGTCTATCTTTTAAAGTTCTGTAATATGTACTTTTGTTAATTTACGTTTCTAAGAATCAAAGAATTAATCGCAAGCGAAGTTGTATTTTGAACTCACTTTTACTTTCCATTTCATTTTAATTCGTCAATTAGTGCAGCTTCGAAAGTATCGATAAATAAATTATGGGTGACGATATCACGGTCGTAAATGTGCTTATTAACGGAACAGTTGTAAGTTAAATCATTTAGGAAAACTTGGATTGGAGTCAAACATCTCGATGCAATAAAGTAAATATTACAATTGTTCGTTAAAGCATCAACTGTGCACTGAATACGGATTATCCATTAACATTATCATCATATTATGGTGAATGATCTATAGAAACTGATTGCAATTAAACAAGTTGCGTGGATGTCACTTGAAATGATCGAAGGAACGTAAGATATCGAGAGAGAAAAGGGGAAGAGAATTGTGTGATGCAAATGAAGGAATTTATCGATTAGCTTCAAATAACGCATTCGCCTTCATTCATTATTCTTTCCAAGTATTATATTTCGAATAGCATTTTAATGAAATAAATATTGGAGAATACGGAGTACTGTCATAATAATTTTACAAAGCGTGCATTATACGTTTGAAATTTCTACACTGATGAACGAATATAAGAATTCTCACGCTAATTACTTCAAATTCACGTTGGTAGATAATTGTGAAGAAAACACGTGTGCGTAATGACGGAAAATCATTGATTTTATTTATTGAATTATTTATTTGTATTATTAATTATTTTATATATAACAAATTTCGTTCGCACGAGACATCCAGCTCGAATAGCCTTCCAATATGGTATTATACGAATTTATATTCTTAAGAGCCTTATAATTTACTTATTGAATTATTTATTTATTTGTCCCAGTAATAAGCATTACAATTTAATTTAAGCGACTCATCGAGTTTTTTTACTTCTTATTTGATCCATCTTATTCAATTATTTATCTGAAATCTCTATATATGAGCAACGGTTCTTAACATCAACGCATTGTGTTCATGCATGAAAAAAACTATTTTATTGAAAGATCTAAAAATTTAACTAGATACAAATCTGAAAATAATTTTGTTAGAGCATTAAAATAATTATCTCAAGTACAATAAACAATATTGCAAAAAGTTTTGATACTCTAATGATCCAGCGTCGTACATAATTATTTCGATGATCTAACAAAATTATTTTTAGATCTGTATATCTATAAGTAAAATTTTTAAATTCTTCAGTATAAAACCGTCCTTCCCGTGTGAGTATTAATTGCAGTACCAAACGCCTGAATATCGACAAACGTTATCACACGTAGTTCTAACGTTGATCTTCCACGTCTGGTAAGACAAGAGATATGAATGCATGAATGCATTGAAAGTGTCTTGAAACTAGAACGACCAGTATCTTCTTGCAGCTTGGATGTAAAGGGAAGGAAGTGTCATATGTTCATATGTACTGGACATTCGTTTTACGTCGCAGACACAGCGGAATAACACGCAAAATGACATTAACTGTTTCAGTCGCAAAGTGTCAATATATTATTTTCAGGACAGTAGATAGTTTTTATTTTCGTTCATACAATCGTTCATGCTCTATCTTACCGTCGTGTTTAAGGGCGTTTACCTTTAGCCGTGCTCGTTTTCCCGCATTATTCGGCGTGAATTTGAGAGTAAATTTTCGATTTGCTTCTCCCCGTCTCTCCGCATCTGGTCGACGCTCCGTCCACGGACAACTTTGGAAGGAAACTGGAGAAGGAGTAAAAGTTGCCGACGGTTGGCGGAAAGAAAGATAGAGAGGCGAGAGAGAAGCGAGAAGAACTACTTCATTGGTGGAACTTAATTCACTTAATAGATTCTAAATGGAGTAACTCCGATCTGGCAAGACTCGACCGTTTCTTAAGCGTTGGAATAAAAAGTTCTTGTCCCGGTGAGAACGTAGACAGCCGACGCACTTCAAAGACAGGCTATGGATCGGCAAAGTGAAAGTGATGAAGAGAAACAATGTGAAGACGCGTCAAAAAATAATTGACACTGATCATGATGATTAAAAGCAACAGTATGACTTTCTTGTTTAGTTTTTATGAGTAAGAGTATATCACGCTAATCATGTTTTAATAGTGAATTATTAGATCAAGATTGTACTGGAATCTCGTATTGTCAGAGGTAAATGGGGCAGCGAAAGAATAAAAATCGACTAAACGAATTTAAATTTTATCGGTTACGCGCTCGTCCATAAATTCTTCGTCGAAACCACATTTATCGCAGTAGTCGATATTTATATGAAATACCATTAACCACCGTTGTTCAGCATGTATGGTAAAACAAGAAGAAACTAAAAAAAAAAAAAAAAAAAAAAAATTTACTTTGCTTTTACTGTGCTGTGAACGCGCGAGATGTGTTGAAAAAATAAGGCAGCAATCCAGATTGAATATCCGTTATATTACATACTTCGATAATTCTCGCCATCAGCAAACCGATGAGGTTTGTCCAGCGTTTGCTTTTGATGCTTTTGAGCCCGCTGAAGTGGTAGCTCGTGGTATTGATGCAGGTTCGAGGGAGCCAGCCAAAGAGAAACGCATCGGTCTCCAGTAGCTAATTTATGACTTCGGAGGTGAATTTTGTGCAGGAAACACATCAAAGTTCAGTAGCGGTCAATGCAGCTCACGCGTATACGATGAGAGAAGAGGATGGTATGTCTGAGTGAGAGAAAGAGAGATGGGTTAAAAGATGAGGGAGAGGTAAAGGGGGAGAGTGTGTGTGAGAGAGAGAGAGAGAGAGAGAGAGAGCAAGAGAGAGAGCGAGCATGGAGCTTCACGGACGGTAAAGCAACCACGGGCCGCGCTCTAACTACGTTAAAAGTTTTAATATTAGTTTAGTCGACGGCCACGGTAGATTGAGACGTAATTCCAGGTAATACCACGGTTCTACGAGCTACTTCCAGCTAATACCGAACGAAACGCGTTCTACAAAGGACCCTTCAGCCCCCGCACTCCTTAATCTGCATTAAACTCGACGTTCGGTAGCCCGCCGCCTACCCGTCGCGTCGGCAGCGAACGAGACGTCATTCATATGATCGTATGGTACCTTTGATTTTTGCGCGAGAAGCCATCGACTTCTCTCTCTTCGGCCTTTCGAGTCGGTGCAACCTGCGATTCGGTCGTAGCGATTTCAATGACACCCAAGACACTCTAGCTTCCAGTTGGATATTCCGTCGTGCTGTTATTTTTTACTCACATTCAGAGAGTGCACTTTGCTGATGTTTCTTAGTATAAATATCAGCATTTTTTTCTAAATTTTTCTTTAGAATTAGAAGTAATTTCAAATTGTGCGTGTTTTAAAATAAAGAATAAAAATATAACTTTAGACTTTTTTATTTGGGAGACCAGCGTTTGTTGCGTAAAATTTGTATTATAATTACATCGATATTGTCCTGAAAGAAACATAAATAATTTTGTAGATGATAATACAATTGGCATCGCGTAATTTATAGTTAGTGAGACATCGTTGAAATTGATATGAAAGTTTGCATGCTGCGCAGCGTGCTTTAGTTTTCTATATTTCGCGAAATAAACTTGCCGGAAAAAAAATACGGCGTGTTAACATGTAAAAGCAGCCTGCTATTAACGGACGATCAGAGAGCACAAAGTTTTCTATTAGTACTTATGTAATTGCGAAATTATGTTCTTCGCGCTGTGAATACATTGATCTATAAATACGTATAAAAATGTAAAAGATAATAGTAGAAGATAATAATATTTGATGTATATCCGGTGAAGCGCGTGTTATATGTAAGTTCCTAACAAACTAACTTTATGTAATTTCTGTATATACTTGAAAGTACTTTGCAGCTACTCCGATCGTTGTTTAAGCAGTCAAGTGATTGTTCACTGTTGTAACAAGCGAGTTACGAGTTTTTTTAAAATAAAAAATCCTTATTTGTGTGTCTTCTGCTTTTTCTTCAAAATTCATTTTTCGTAAATTAATATCATTCAATCCTACTGTAGTAAATCGTAAACTGTTAAACCGTAAACACGAATATAATATGCACGTTGTAAACGATCCATTGATAACATCCCGTATAAGACTACATACGTTGAATGTGTCAATGTGCTTTGTAATAATTTCCGATACACACACGATATATCCCTTTTTCATTTAAATCCATCTTGCGCGTCTCCGTATTACCATGTAAAAATACTGATGCGCCCATCGTTACCAGGTAACTATGTGATTTCTCCTAAGATCGCACTTCGGCTGTTGCAGTTTACGTGCACTTCGAGCAGAGGTTTACCCTCGTCGCTGGTAATTGAGCGAGGCGAAGGGTCGCGCTTCCAAGCTCTCGTAATTTCTTGTCACACGACGGACGTTTCGGAGTGAAGCGCGGCAAGGCGCGCAGAGTGTACGAGCGAGGGAATAGGAAAAAATGCACCTGCGACGGGTAATAATTTGTGCCGTCCAAGCTGCGGCGGAGGGCCTTGGAGGAGAGGGACGGGGGGGAGGGGGAGGGGGAGGGGGAGAGAAGGAGGAAAGCGATGGACGAAGGAGGCAGGGAGTGGGCAAAAGGGAAGGTTGAGGAGACGGGGGAAGAGGATGGAAAAGGAAATAACTCGGAGGTGGACCACGCGTTTTGCTTGGAAGCTCGTCTCCGTACTAGCAAAATCGTACTACGCCCTATCTTTCTTCCCCTCCGCGCCACCCCTCTCTTTCTCTTTCTCTCCTCTCTTCCGTTCTCAATCGCTCTCCCTCTCCCTCATCTCTCCTCGTTCTCTCCGCGTTCTTTCTCTCTCTCTCTATCTCTCTGTTCCTGTCTCTCTCTCTCTCTTTCTCTCTCTCTCTCTCTCCCTCAGAGACGAGTCGATGCGTGCGTACGAACACAAGCGAGAAAAGTTTTACTCTCACCAACACTGATGCATGTCCAACGTCGCATATCCAACCTCGTCTCTCCCTTTCTCTATTCCTCTCGCACTCTCGCTTTTGCTTTCCTCTCTCTCTCTCTCTCTCTCTCTCTTCTCACTCGCTTCTCTCCTCCTCTCTAATCTAACTCCTCGCAAACGCGCACACAACCGCGTATCGGCGCTGTTCAACGTCGGTGGTCTCCTCCTCACCAATACCAGGTTGAAATCCTCCTCCGGCTCCTTCCACCAACCCCTCTTTCTGCTTCCTCCTCCTCCTTTTCCTCTTCCTCTTCCACCGCTGTCCTCCTCTTGACGGTGGTGTTGTACGACCTCTCGGGGTTGCTCGTGGAAAATCGGCGCTCTTCGTCGACGTCGCGGCGCGGACGGTTCGGACGGGCCTCGTAGGGCTGCCTAACGTCGATCACGGGTCTACGTCTCCTCTTTTGAGCTTCCTAGACGCGTCTTCCGGCATCGCGGTAAACAGAGAAAGGATCAAACGGTGCCCTGGAGTCGTACGAAAGATGGAATCTCTTGCGGTTCCAACCCGACCGGCTCCCGATATCGCCGCAATCATCGACTGAGAAGATCTCTTGCGCTCATCAACGCGAAAGTAAGTACCAAGAAATAAGGAATGGGAATCCTTTTCAAATTCCGTGCGCGCGATCTCGTATCCTCTGTGATTTTCAACCCAACTTTTGAATCTACATTTCGGAAGAAATTGTTGCAAAGCTCGTGGAAATAGCTTCATGCTTCCATAAACATTTGACAAGTTGATAACAGGAAATCTCGTCGCTGTATGGGCGCGCGCATATGTGTGTGTGTGTGTGTGTGTGTGTGTGTGTGTGTGTGGTATGAAAAGAAGGAAGAGTGATAACAAAGTATAATTTTTCTTAAAAGTAAATATTTTTTAACATTTCGTTAACACGATGATTAAATTTAATAATAATAATACTGTCTTTTTCTTCTACGCGATGCAATACACAGATAGGAATTGTATTTTTAGTCTTCAACATTAGTCGATCCATATGACACGATTTCACAGTATAAGTATTGTAAATCACTCTTCCTTCACTTTCTGATATAATAACGTATACATTATACTCATAAAAAAAAATGTTCTTCTTTAATCTATCACGTTGGATATAAATCCGCACTTTCTTCTTAATTCGCATGATATTTAGAAACTAGGTAGTTCTTCGCGTTTAGGCCACGCAAGATGATTTGACGGTCGTGGCGACAAATTCGTAGGTAGGCTCGAGGTGGTGTGCGAACGTGCACTTGGAATTTGGTTTTCGTCAAAGTTTCCAAGGTGAACTGGTTGTGCGCGCATCTGCGGGGGTATACACCTCACAGGGGGGAAGGAGGGGACGGTGAAAGAGGATCGAGGGCGACGGCGGAGGGGGTCTCGGTCGGGAACTTTGTTCTTGTTCTTGCGAGGAACTTCGACCCACCTTCCTGCGATCCCTCTCTCATACCCCCTCGTGCCCTCCTCGCATCCCCCGTGCCATTGAACAAACTAGTCCGCTTCAACGATAGTTACTTCTTTCTTGTTACGCGGCTACCGAGTTTCGCGCCGACACGCCGCTTACGGAAGGTTGCGGTGAACTTGGTACCCTCCGTTCGCCCCTTCCCTCTCACTCTCCATTTCGGCCGCGAGGGATCACCGGGATTCGGGGTTAACGACAGTTCGCTTGTCCCCGTCTGCATCGTCTTCCCAACGATGCGGAGTCGGCGAAGGCCAAGGTACCAGCGAATGCAGAGTTCGCCGATACAGTGAAATCAGCGCTGTTCTTGGGCAATCATAGTGGAAACTCTTGTTAGACATCTACATTAAACTGAAGAGTAGTCTCACAGTTTCTGTTCTCCAAGTAGTAGACATCTTTGATATCTATAAGCGTTTTCTCTCAATGTCAGTCGGTAACAATATTGATTCTCCATACTTATATGACGACTTCTCCGTCATATGAAAAATATTTATCATGACATTAAGCATTAACAAAAGATAAGATTTAGTTTGATTTCTAATATTTTAATTTAACATATGGTTTAAACTACATCATTTAATAATTATTATCAACTTAAAGATTTCTTTGAAGACATTTATTACTTATCTTATCCGAATACTTACACTTAAGTTGTGATATAGCAATCTTAAAAAGAAATTACGTTTTAAAATTACTTTTATAAAACATCGTTTTGATGATTACCAATGAGGATACTTAATATTTCTTACATCTTATCAAGCTTTGACACAGAAATGTCTGATGCCATCTGATACATTGCTAGATCGAAAGAAGGGTATTTTGCAACAGAAGTAAGCTTACTTATTAAGTTAAAATAGATGTAACATTGAAGAAAGACATTTGTTGCTGTGGCAAAATGATCAGTTTTGACAATTAAATTAATTTTTAAGAATTCTTCAGAAAAATGTCAGCCTTTCTCGTAGTGAATAAAAGAAAGAGAGAGATAAAGACAAGGGGGAGAAATCGGGTGCCAAACGAGAAGGGGGAGAGAACACGAGAGGAGAGAGAGAGAGAGAGAGAGAGAATGAGTGAGTTGGTAGGGGAATTGTTACCCGAAGTTTAAACTTGGTTGTCGACTGCCGTTAACAAGGTTTGCCATGGGGCTGGTTCAGTAGTGTCTAGGTCTCGGGGTGTGCCACATCTCGCGTCCGGAGACGCTCGTCTTCGTCGTGTCTTGAAACCGATTAACGGTCAACCGTGGTTTCGTCATTTTTCCATCCTGTCGTTAAAAGTTGCGACATTGTCCCCAAACGAGCGACGGTAATAAGTCGTTCCCTGCGTGGTCCAAGGCGTAACGGTACCGATTCGCTGAGTGTTGCTGCAAATAGTTTACGCTGTAGAGTGATTACGATCGACTTGCGAAGGAAAGAAGCGTAAGATCATTCATATTTAGATGCTGCATTGGGATTTATCGATGGATTGTATTATGTATGTATTCATTATTTTTTGCGTGTGTAGAAATATTTATTAAAATATTAAATATTACATAAATACACTGTATAAATACACTGAAATAGTTTTTGGACGTTATATTTTTGTCTGTTGAAAGAATTATTTACGGAAGTAATAGCCGGCGCGACGCGACGGTCGCCGATGAACAATCTGCGGGCGATTGTTAATTCGGAATATCTTGCTTAAGTTGTATATTTTTACACTTCCTCTAATGTTATTTTTGCAATTTTATAAAAATTTGTATCTTACATATCTTTGTAGTTGTTCTAATGTTAAAGAAAATTATCCATTTATATTAATATTGAAATTGTAGCTTAATGGTTTTAGTAATTTAT